TACTAGACTAGAAAAGACATCGATATCTTCCTCTTCATTTTTTTTGGTGCACAATTTATATATAGAAAGCATTTATTCTCTTCTTTCGTCTTATTTATTTGAACTTTTTATCAATCTCTTTTCACACTTATCATTAAAAGTGGATGAGGTTATTCCTATGGTAATTAGAGGTCTTAGATTTGAGCCCTACATATAGAAGAATCTTTGGTAGAAAGTGATTTCCCCCTACGTGGCACGAATTTGAAATAGTCGGACTCTAATATAAATATCGAATACTGAATGAAAAATGAAAAAAGAAAAGTCTCTTTTCACATCCCATTGTAATATACTTTGATATTCTTATTTCCTTTTGCCCCTTTTGAGTTTGGTAGATGTTCGTTATTCGTTCTTTGAGTCTCCGAGAAGCCAAAGTTAGGACACTTTGAGGTTCAAGAATTTATACTACTACCTAATTTTTAAATATTATTTTAAGTTCAAACGTACCATATAGAATTATAGCTCATAAATATTTAGTAATTCAAATAGTATAATTTACGTAAATTTCATAGTGTTAAGAACTATTGAGCTACTTATATTATTTTCTTACTTTTTTTTCAAATTAATAAGTTCTTAAAAAATTATGAATTTTAAATACATCACTGAAATTCCAGATATATTACTGGACACTCAGATACATAGGTGAGGGATGTATGATGTATCAGAGAGGGATAGGAAATTCGGATACATCAAAGAGGAGATGGATGTATCCGAGAGAGGATAAGGATGTATCAGCCAAAAGAGTGAGGTATCCAAGAAAGGATTTTTGAAAATTTTTAAATGATAAGAAATTTTAGAGATTATGATAAAATAAGATACGTAAAGTTTAAACCAAATTCATTTTCATGTATCTCTTATTAATAGTACTAGATTGGTCATGGCTGTGCTGAGCAGGGACCCAACATACTTGATTTTATATATATATATAAAAAAGTGTGTGGAGACGACCTTTCACCTTAGTCTTTGAATAACATCGATTGAGTTTGTTTTGAGTCATTCATAGATTAAGATTAGTAGATAAACATACATATATGAAACCAAAATATTGATTTTGTACTAAAGTTTAAATAGTAAATTCTACCACATATGGCCAATTTTACAGGTAACTTTTACTTCATAAACAACCGAATTAGGAAATTACCAAGTCCCATTTTGAACTATCAATTCGCTTACATTGATGAATAATTATGGTGTTTATATCAGTTTACATGCATGTTAACAAATATTACGAAATATCTGTCCATCTTCACCTGTAAATACTAAGAAGCAATTATAGCTATCTTCACCTGTAGATACTGAGAAGCAATTCTAACTATCACCACATCTAAGACTAAAGCCTTAGTTTATTCGAAGCGTTACATGCAATTTCATGAGAAAACAGAAAACCTTATCAGTTATTCAGATGTCTCAGGCATATCATCAAATATCTGAAAAGAATTAGTGTGCATGATATTTTGTGATCAATCAAAATGTTCATATCTCATAATACAAATATTTTATAGAAAAAGAAAGGGAAAATATATAGAAAAAGAAAGGGAAAATGCGCAAGTATCCTCCTAGACTATTGTCAAATTTTGAGACACACTTTAACTAAATAAGATCCTATTACTCCTTTGAATTTTTTATTTTCTTTTTGAAATTTTGCGCACCATTTGTCTTACGTGGCACACTCCTTGACTCCACAGAATTAAGCGCGTGGGAGATATTTGAATGACGCATAAGACAAAAAAGTACACAAAATTATAAAAAAACATAAGTTTAAAGCATAATAAGACTTTAATTTAGTTAAGGTGTGATTCTGAGATTTTTGTCATAATCTAGGAGAGACACTTGTCATTTTTCAAAAAAAAAAAGACAGACTTACCCATAAATATAATGATCACTTGATGACCAATTTTTCGAATTTTGGTCTTCAAATATTTTAAAATTTCCTGGCACTAACTAATTAAGATTTATTTTTCGATTTGGTAACTTCTACACATGAAATTTCAAGAAATCTTTGGCAAGAAAATTTATTTTTTCTTCTAATTATATTAACTTTTGTCTTCTATAATTATAGTAGCTTATTAAAAAATTTCCTATTATATTGAAATTTGTAAGATTTTGATATGTAGATTATTCATGTCAATTATGTTCTCACCTACTTACCTACTTTTCTCAATTAATTGATAACGTCATTAACTATATTACTTATTAGAGTATTTATTTCTTTAATTTGAAACTTTTGATTTACTTTTTATTATTATGGTAAGAGAAAGGATATATTTTTTCCAAGTATCTACATAAATTTATTTTGTTGCTATAATTTAACATAATAAGGAGATTTGTTTTCTTTTATAGTATGACAAGAAATTAATTACAATATAGAAGATTTTTTTGTATAAATAAGCAATACATTTTTTGGAGAACCCCAATCAATTAACATCTCATTTTCACTTGATTAATGACAGGGAAAAAAACTCTAGAGCGTCAAAATATTCTGATTGCCGAAATGGAAAACAAAGATGAGCTATACTCAACATTTTCAAAGCGTTGAGCAAGATTATACAAGAAAACAAGTGATATGATTGGAAAACATAACATTAATGTGGGAATAATAATATTTTTCCCCATTGATAATCTTTCTTTTTTTTTCTACCCTTCAATCGATGCTGTTGTTGATCATTTTTAGTCCATATGTGCAGGGAATGTAAAAGAAACTATGGACTAAAAAAGGATCAACAATAATCTCAATCGTTACCAATTTTCAAAACTTCTTTTATGTATTTTCCCATTAAAGATTGATAAAATACCCACCATTTTACCATGGTCTTTAATTATCAATAAATGAATAATCAGTAATACTTTCGAATAAGCATATCAAATAGTGGTTTCAATTAAATATTAAAAAATTTTAAAAAGTGAAAAAGTGATAACAACAAATATAATTCTTAAAAAGAAATATAAACTATTGTTTGTAATATATTTACTCAATTATGAGTTGGGATAAATTTTGTAGAGAATGTGAAAAAATATTGTCAATAGTAAAAATTTAACTTGGTAACTGTTATTTAAAAAAGAAGATTTAAACATTTATCTAGTGTGATTTTCATGTGTTTGGAATACATATAAATTGCGCTCACCTCCCTCCTAAATCTTGCGTGTCTCTCTTCCTCTTTTTTTGTGTGTATCTGATAGTAAAAATAGATGTATCTAAATATAAAATATGTAGTCAATTTTTAATTAGTGATAAAATACGTAATATTTTAAAAGTATAAATAATAATGTATATAGCAATGAAGTATTTTGAGGGTATATTTTAAAAATTCACCTTTGGCTATTTATTTGATAAGTTTTTTAAATTTTGGTCTTCAAATATTTTGAAGTTCTACAACTCTAACTAAGATTTATTTTTGGGTTGGTAACTTCCCCTCATGAAGTTTCAAGAAATTTTAGCCAAGAAAATTTATTTTTTCTTTTAATTATATTAACTTTTATACAAAGTAGCTTATTAAAACATTTCATATTATATTGATTTTTCTTTTTAAATTTTGATATGTAGATTATTTCAATTTCACCTTCTTTCCTCAATAAATTGATAAAGTCATTGACAGTATTAGTTTCTTTATTTTGAAATTTTTGATTTATTTTTTGTTATTATGGTAATAGCAAGACTACTTTCTCTAAGTCTCTACATAAATTATTTTATTACTATAATTTTAACGTAATGAATAAATTTGTTTTCATTTATAGTATGACAAGATATTTATTACAATATAGAAGACGCAACACATTTTTTTGAGAGCCTCATCAATTAGCATCTCATTTTCAGTTGAGTAATGACAGAAAAAGAGACTCTAGGACATCAAAAGATTTCGATGGCCAAAACAGACAACGAAGTTGATATATATTCAACATTTTCAAAGCGTTTGTGCAAAGTTTAAACAAGAAAGCTTAGAGTGAAGGTGCAAAATAATGTTTTTTTCTTGTAAGTTTTGTTACTACGCCTAAAGAAGAAACTCTTATTTTTAACATTTATTGTTGTAAAAAGGTGTATGCACTTTATGTCAATGTGTTTTCTTTGTGTAAATGTAGAGAAGTGTGTTATTTTTCAAAATCACCTTAAAGAAGGAAAAGAAGGTAACAAAAGGCTTGAGAAAGAAAAGTTATTTATTGTTGATTATCATGTAATTGTCCTCTTTTTTTTTTTGATGTAGATCCCTTTTTTCATTTATTGTTGTTAGAATATATGTTTGAACAACAAGTGATCATCATATTTCCATTTCATTTTATAATTTGTTATCTACATTCTATGTATACTACAATTGTGGCACTGAACTTTGTTCTTGACTATTAAATATATTGATCTCATTTGCTTTGCTTTTTAAGTGGCTATACACATCCATCCTTCTTACATGTTACTCTTTCCAATTCCATTTCATTATCTCATTATAGGATAGTATGGATGAGTTATTTGAGCTTAAGCTCCTCTTTCTCTATATCATGGTTCTTCTATGTGCTTCTATGTTTGGGTGGTTCTTTTTTTTAAAAAAATAACTGCACTTGTGATTTCATTTTTTTTTCACAATATTGAGTAGAGAGGTTCAAACGAAAATATGAATGAGGGGCCAAATTAAACTTTTTCTTTTTTCCGATAACTCTCTTTTAAGCATTGAACAGTTCACTTATTTTTAACTAAGAAAAAGATTTCAACAAATCACTCATTTTGAAATAGAAAGACTGTCTTAAATCGCTGATTTGGCGATCACATGTGTGCGCTTTAGAAAACTACTCGTACCTAAAAAAAATGAAAATTATTCACAAATACTTTGTTCCTTTTTCAGAAAATTGTACATGTACAAACACAACATTTTGTGCAGAATGATTTCTCGCGTGGATTCATTTTTCATCGAAAAGCTTCACCATAAGGCACAAGTCCAAGGAATTTCAAAGTGTACAACCAAAAAAAAAAAAGATTGTAGCCGTTGATTATTGAACTATGCATTTGGAAGAAACTGGGTCTATATTTCAAGTAGACCACGACATACATGTCAATTGTATAAAATATATAAGCAAAAATATTCAACTTCAGTGCTACCACAGCAAGCATAAGAACAATAATCCAGTAAAGGCAAAGAAAGAACACAGCTTTGAATCATCAGTTTATAAAACGAGTAATCTCTCATTGTCTCAACCAAATTTATTCCGACAAAAAATTGCAAGACGGACTATCAATGATGACCCTCATCATCACTGCCATGTCCATCAGGAGGTCCTCCAGGTCCAACCACTTCCAACTGCAATACAAGAAATCATTTAGTATCAAATTTTGCTTGGATCAACACATAACTGAAATTCCATTCTATCTTCTCTTTCTTCTTCTTTTTGATTAGGTAGAGATTTTATTAATTGGTACCAAGATGATACAGGAGAAGAAACAAAAAGCAGCACAATTCTGACCTGAGTACTGACTGCAGTAACATACTATAAGCTATAACAATTCTTAACTGATTTTTTTTTTTTTGTGTGTGTGTTACTAGCCCAGCCAAATCAGGGTATCCACCTTATTCCAGATACTTTGATCATTGCCTTTTCGCCCCCAGGGAAGCCCCAAAGAAACAGTGAGGAACGTTTCCGCCTTACATCCCAGGATATCCGCTAGTTCCTTGACAACATGAAAAAACAAAAGCCCCTCTCAATCTATCCAAGGGATGGAAGGGCAGAGGTCATCTGCATTAATGCTGAAAATACTGCGCTTTGCCAGATTAACTTTCAACCATAACTGCCTCAAAATTTCCAGAATCTCTCTAAGATAAAGAAGAGTATCATCTATCAGCATATAGAATGTGCGATAAGGTAACCCTATCAACACAATTTCTTTGAAAGCTCATGTCTTATATCCAGCCCAACTTTTCAGCTTGCTTCTCCACCATACTAAAAGCTTCAATCACCAGAGTAAACAGATAGGAGGAAAGTGGATCCCCTTGCCTCAAGCCTCTTTGAGAGTTAAAAAACCATGTGGACTCCCGTTTATCAATATATAGAATTTTACACTAGATTTGCAGTAACAAATCCATTCAATCCATTTATCGCCTATTTGTTTCCGAATATTTAATAAATATGACCAGTTAAAATGGTCGTAAGCCTTTTCAAGATCAAGCTTGCAAGCAGCTCCTCTCTTCTTTATTTCATTAGTTTCTCAATGCTTAAATTGGCGACCAAAGTTGCATCAACTATTTGCCTCACTTTAATAAATGCATCCTGATGTCCTGACACTAACTTATCAATTACCAGTTTGAGCCTTTCAGCCAATAGTTTAGCAATAATTTTATACACTCCCAGGCCAAGGAAGTTGATAGGCCTGAAATCTTTCACCTCAACCGCCCCTTCCTTTTAGGTATCAAAGCAATAAAAGTAGCATTTAAACTTTTAACAAAATAATCCTTTTGATAGAAAATTTCCAGTCCTTTAAACATCATCTTTTTTTGTGCTCCAGCATCTTAGGAAGAAGTGTAGATACACCCATCGGGACATGGAGCCTTATCTCCTCTAAAAGATCTGATAACAACTTCCAGTTCTTCCATAGTAAAAGATCTTTGCAGCCACTCTCTGTCTTCATCAGGAAGCCTTTTCAGTTCTTCATCCTTCCAGTTTAATCTCCTTTCTTCATTCTCCCTAAATACTTTAATAGAAGTCTTGAGTGTGTTCATTAATAATTTTCTCATCATCTACCAGCTCCCCATCTTTCATCATTTTGTCAACACAACTGAACCTCTTGTGTGCATTTGCCACATATGTGCATTCTATCAGAATTAAGCAAGTACCACATTTGGACAATTGAGAACTACAATTAGTAATTTGCAGCTAAGCAAAAGCCAACCCAAGAAAAAATATTCTCGTTATTAACTGAAGAAATGTTTATTAATAGATGTTGATGCGCCTTTTTTGACATATACAACAGCAACAACAAATTCATACCTACAAAACTCCCTAACATCCTCAAAATTAACCTAGATTTAGAAAAGCAGGGAGTACAGATTCATGTCTAGCAAATTCCTCAACAGCCTACAAACTCACCTAGATTTAATCAATAACAAACCACAGGACTAACTATGAATTAATTGATATCCTGTACTTACCACAAAATACTGTGAGCATACTGGGCATTCATGTGGCTTGCCCTTCTCGAGCCAGAACCAAACAACATCATGCTCATCTTCTGTTGAATTAGAATAGAAAATGAAAGAGGACATGACTAGAAACCAACTAAAGATTGAAGTCAACTGACTAAAGGAATTAATGTATGATGGAGACTTGTCAAATAAATAATGGAAACTTACCTCCTTCATCTCCAGGGCATCCTACAACTCTTCTATCATAGTAGGATTTGACAACAGCAGGCGCTTCCTACAATATAAAACACACAAAATTTGATCATTTATTTATTTTTGACAAGGTAACATTCAAAGTGTTGATCATATCCATATTTCCATATGCATCAAACTTGAAACATAACTGAAAACAAACATAAGTGATCTCCACATAACATCAATTACCATGTGGTTAGTGCTGACATATAATCTTTAATCACTTATCAGCCACACAAATTATACTTATTTGAAGAATTGAAATTAGCAACGTTTTAATTAAGAAGCCATCAGCGTTAGCAGAAAAACAATAATAAAATTTGCATGCCCCATTGATCAAAAAGTAAAAAAGATTCAACAGAAGATTATTTTCACATGGAAAAATAATGGAAACTTGAGACCTATAAGTTGCAATAGTAGTGATGTCAACCACTGAAAGTAGTTAAAACACAAGAAATATTTGCTTTGCAAATTTTGTCAATATTCACCACACACCCCTGTAACTTAGTTTTCACTGGTAAAGGATTCATTAATCCCACAAGCAGGGTCTAGGGAGGGTGGGGTGAATAGAGAGGTTGTTTCCGTGTTGGTGAAGGATTACAAGATAAAATAAGACAGTCAATACTACTAATCAATTGCACTAATGAAAGTTTACTAAAGCAATCATATATTATCAAAATGTACAAGCTAATTATGGAAGCTGAGAAGACCTCTGTTTAACTACATCTCCAAGAGCATATGCAAAAGACAAGGCATGACCTGAACTACATCACTACTTGAAAAAGAAATGGCCTCCATTACATATGATAAGACCACCATTAGTTCAGTGATAATCAAACAAGAAACAGGCAGACCATTAAGCGACTGACTGTGCTCCGTAGAATGGGCTAAAGTAGAAGAAAACGCTAACTTAGAATTTCCAATTTATCAGCATTAACGAAATGCATCAACAATATATCTTATGGTGTTCTAGCAGTACTTAAAATAGGATGGATCGTTACTTGGTTTGGCTGTACTTATTCGGGGGGCAGTATCTAGTTCTAGTGTGATTGGTGGAAGTTATGTAGTTATGCTTTGTACTTGCTTCTGTACCAGCTTGGTACCAGATTAATAAGACTATAAAAATAATAATAATATGTTGGAAACCATATTTACGCAGTACATTTCAAATAAACAGGCAGAAGTAGAACCTCATAGATATTTGCTCCTATCATATTCACAATGGATTATCGGAAAGCCAACCAAAGGTTGGAGAAGTATGCTAAGAAAGTGAGGGGTTGTTCACTTCACACACTAGTCACACGGGAATTAAAATGCATGGTTGTTTGGTGAAAAATAATGAAGGGGTTGTTATAAAATGAATGGTGATGTAAAGACTTTCATGTGATGAGTATTAATAATGTTATGTAGGGGTTTGCCTAATTTAGGGGCATTTTTATACTTCAAATTTTCTCTCTTAATTGCTAATACACACTCTTTTCTTTGTTCCTGCAAATGGTAATGTTGTATTCTTCCTTAATGCTGAGGACCTTCAAAAGTAGGAACAGAGAAAGTAATACTAATAGAGATCCTAAGAATTCTAAAAGTTGTTTTGTTTCCTCTCAACCTATTTCTTTACACCAAAAATAGGGAGAAACAATGCAGTTCCAGTTAACCTTATTAACGGAATTGAATTTATCGTCAAAATTTCTACTTTTCCTCTCTCGATATCGTCCACCATATGCAATGTGGGATTAGTCTCCACCGTGCCTTCTGTCTCTTATTGCCCCCTTTTCTAATCCAGCAACTCAACAGGTCTGTGTGTGTTCAGGCATAGTCCACTTTGTTTGTGAGGTTGAGAAATATGGCCCAAGCCTGTTAAATGTGTTGTGAAACCGTAACGCAACAATAAGTGGTTATTGGTCTCTTTTATCTTCCCATATAACGAACACCAAGATACTAGACTCTTCTAGCAACCAGCCATGTAAAACATTTTAACTTGGTTGGTGGCTTGGTGCTAAGTTTCTCCACACCTTCCTCCACAAACTTTGCTGGCTCTTATCTTCTTCAGGACTTCATGGGTCAGGCAGTCCCTTCTAGCAACCAATCATGTAAAACATTTTATCTTGGTTGGTGCTAAGTGTCTCCACAACCAAAATCTTTGTTGTTTCTTCTATTTTGATTGTTTTCTATTTTATAGGCCCTATTGATAGTGAAAGTGTCATCTTCATTGTGTAAACTGTAAGTCTGTAACCATCGCTGAATCAGGAACAGTTGGTGCCGGGGAATTCCCTGTTTCTACTAGCAGTTTGGCTGCTCTCTCTACATCTCAATCGTTCAGTAGAATCTGCTGAAGGAAAGATTCTGCCCCTGTATTATCCAGCAGTTCTTGATCTTTGCCTCTAGGTTATTGCATAGCATGAACAGATCGTCCATCAAAGGTATCTATTTATCCCAGCAACTCCCCAGAATTTCGCTCACCTACCATCTCCCACCTGTATGTACAAATTAGCCTCTAATTTGGGCCACATGTTTCTAATATTCCTCTAAACCTCAACTCCATAAGTACCAATACTAACATTACTCCGGGCCAACTTCACGCACCTCGACTAATTTTGTGGGATACATGTCACCTCCCAACAACATCATTTACTAGATAACTTTTTTTTGATGACAACAGAAACCCGCAGCCGCTACCCTTTGGGTGCGCACAAGGTAAAACTCCCGCTCCTATGCAATAGCTCGCAAACCACATAGGAGAGATAACCTGCACTAGGCAAGCCTGGTGCGACGAGCTCGGCCCAGAAGGCAAACCACTTGCTTTCACTGGCAAGGGGTTTCGAACTTGAGACCTCCAACATGAAAGTCCTAAGCTCGAACCACTGGGTCATCCAGAAGGGTATGTGCTAGATAACTTTATCCACCAATTCTAGAACAAATGGGAAGAAATTACCTAGTGTATTTTGTCTCTGAGGAGATTTGAAACTAAGACATCATGCTTCTCAATACACTTGATTGACTACTAAGCATTATTATTTAATCAGAACATCATAATCTTCACAGTACAATCCCCATATAACTAAATCGCGTTCCAAACTACCCCTTAGGGCTTTAGTATACAATAAAAACTGCAAGTTTAGCTCAATAAAAAAAAATTGAGGTAAGATTAGACAATATTATGGTGTCGAAATACATATCTAGATATATATGTTCAATATTCCATGAGAATGCTTTATATATAAAACTAAAGTAGGATTGCTAAATATGACAGTGTTACGAGAGTAATATGTGCTAGGTAGATACCTACCAAAATGAAGACAAGTTCATTAAAATGATGATGGAACCAGAAATGTTGTAAAAGAGAGCAGACCATATCCACAAGAAAATTGTCAATGAATTTTTTTTATAATTATAAGTATCTTATCAATGAAAACTCAATACCAAGCTACTACTGAGACAAAGTAAGACTTGAGGATGTTAAAATGGATGTATAGTCACTAAGATAAAGATTAGCTTAGAAATGATTACATTCCAAAGCAACTATATCTAACACACGTAGAGGATAAAGCAAGAAAAGGTTGGTATATCTTCCAAATGCACGGACCTCTAGTTGCCACACTATGATTTTGATACATTAAAGGAGAAAAGTGGCAGCATAAAATTTCATAGGGGAAGTTATTAGAAATGGTCGCGGTCTCTCAAATAGAATAGCACATGACCGAACACAATCAGCAGAACATACAAAAGCAAAAGATTTGCATATGTGATACCAACTACTCTCTCTGTTCCAATTTATGTGGCACCGTTTGACTTGAAATGAAGTTAAAGAAATAAAGGAAAGACTCTACTTATGTAACTAATTTGCATCTTCTTGATGCCTTCAATGAAACATTTACTTCATCAAAAAAAAAAGGAAAGATTTTTGAAATATGTGGTCTAAAATAAATCTTCAATATTTGTGTAGCTATAAATCATCCATTTAGGGTAAAAATGAAAAAAGTTAGTTTTTATTCCTTTTGGGGTGGACTAAAAGTGAAAGTATGAGATTAATAAGGATTACTTTGTCGTGTTAGTGCACTTACGTTATCTTTGACATTAAGAGCCTTTTCAATTGTAAGTGCAAAGATAAGTTTCAGATTTAGAAATGTTTAGGTTCAGATAACCCCTGAATTTTGATTATTTCTAAGTTTGAGTAATGGAATTAACTTAACCAAGCAGAGGGAAAGAAACATAAAACACTCATACAGCTAACCCAACTCGCTTGAAGTTCAGGCAAAGTTGTCGTATATTAATTTTGGAAACCAGCAGGGTTAATGTGTATCCAAAACATGCTTTCACAAGATGTTGGAGACTTGGAGCACGAAGAGGTTAGGTTAGGAATCGTCCAATCGAAAATGAGGGAACTTTGCAACTCCAGCTAATCCTATTTAATATTGAAAAAATGAGGGGACTTTGCAATTCCAGCTAATCCTATTTAATCTCTTTAGATTAGACTGGGAAAGTGAGACAAGCTCATTTACTTCTCTTTCACTCATGCCCCAACCAACATGAACAAAAGTACAAATATTCAAAATCAACCATCCATCATACCCCTTTCTCTTCTCCTCAATCCTCCCTTTTCCTGAAGTAAGCACATAACTATGACTAGTAAAGAAGCGAGAAATAGCAAGGCGGATCCAGGTCCTATTTCGGATAATGAAATATTTGTTGTTTACAGCTTTAAAATTTGGAACAATGGAACAGCCTCTTAAGAAAAACATAACCCTGGTTTAGATTGATCCAAGTCGTGCCTTTAGCTTAATAGAACTCCATAATCATTCTGGAGTAATAGTTAAAACCAAAACATATTCCTCAGACTCGGATTGCAAACTAAAATATATTCACAACTCAGATGTTACTTTACGAGAACATATATTACACTGCTCATTTTTATCTGACTTGCTTTCATCTTCAATTGAATTTTCTCAGAAGAACCTAACACTCAAAAGAACACCTAAAAACAACTACTTCCAAACATTTCCAATGATTGCTCATTACTCATTATCCCTGTCAATAAGAGAATGACCAATCACATGATATAGTAATCGTTATGCATCAGATGAGAATAACTAATCTGGATAAAAGACAAAACAATTTAGTGATCAACAATAATGATGACTAAAGCAAAAGGGGCAATAACTAATGCCTATTAGCACCAAAAGTTACTAGGAAACCCACAGTTCCACACTAACCTTTGTACCAAAAGGACCTTCAGGAAAGTTAATGTCAAGAATATCCCTTCCCTAAAGAGAAACACAACAAATGTAATTTTCAGTCACTATCAATAACATTTGAATTAGTACACGTAATATCTCAACGCTAAATTAGTAAAACATGGTGATAACTCACTTGGAGCTCAGCTTCAAGCTCCTCACGCTCATGACCAGTTGCAATCGGCATTACATCCTCCACTTTCTTAACAACATTCTCTACTCCACACAACAACAACAAAAAATGCATACTCATCACATAAACAAAAAAGGAACCAACTAGAAAAAAATATCAAATAACGCAAGTACAATAAATCAATCAAGTCACTCTATTCAAACTCGTAAGATCTGATTAAATTAGGGTTGAGAGTAGAGAGAGAAATGCGAAAGGATACCTGATACGGTACTGAAGTGGCGAGGGAAGAAAGTGACCGACGAACGGAAGGCTGCCGGAGATTGAGAAGAAGATACGGAGGTGGTGGCGGCGGCGGCGGCGGCGAATGAATTGGTTTTGGGAGTAGATCGAAGTAGGTGTAGGGTTCGGAGGTGCGAAGAGAGTTTTCTCGACATAGTGTGTGTTCAGTTGGATCTCAGGTCAGCCCCTGTGTGTGTATATAGATGGAGACTTGTTCTTATCAACGCTCTGTATCTTCTCTTTTTTGTGGAAATGAAATGGCAAATAAGGGTGCCACTGGCCGGCGGCTTCGGCCAAGGTTGACTCACTCGTATCGAATTTCTCTCAAGGGAAGCGTGTACTCGCACTAATTTTTTAATTTTTATAGATATGAAATTCAAACATAAAACAATATCAAACACTATTCATGAAATTAAAATAAAATTTCTATATTTGTAAACTATATGAAAAATATTATACAACACAATAATTGATAATTTGAAATATATGAAAAATTTATCATTAAAGAACTTCAAAAGTTATCACGCAATTTGAGAGAGGGTACGTAATGTTACTTGAGCTCTATACTTTGAGGTCCATTTGGCTATTATAGTCTATAGCTCACTGACGTAAACTAAAAAACCAAGAAACAAAATTTAAATTGAGTAATTATGAAAATCTTAGCGACGAACATCTACTTCAAGCTTACAAATATAATGATCAAGAATCAAAGGTTCAATTATAAACCTATCTTTGCAATATCCTTAATTTCATCAATGTTAATCTTCATAAACAGAAAACATCTAATTTTTTCGAATATGAATAACTGATGATGAATGTTTAATACTAGAATCGTCATAAATAATAAATTCATATGAAACACATCGTATTTCACAATATCTTCCAACAAAAAAGAAGGAAGACAATGAAAAGGACTCATTTCCTAAAAGCTATCAAAACATAATCAAGGGAAGAAGGGATCTAAAACGTATCATGTATTGTGAGTAGGACATCGTCAAAGAACAACAGGGATACATCACATTCTCCTTTATAGGTTGTCACTGTTAAAGAAGAGCTAAATATCTTAATGATCTTATTCACTTAAATATCAAAACATACCAGATTTGTGCTTCTCTATTTTGACACACACACACACTCATTCTCCTTCTCTCAGTATGTTAACTCTAATCTCCCGAATCCTGGCACACACATGATATACTATAATAGGACACCTACATTTTAACACTATTGAGTTAAGGGACCTAAGGGCCAAGGCATCACCAGTGGCATCATTTTAAAGGAGATGTCGTTGGAGGAGAATGTTCTTTCGTAGCTCCTACAAATACTGGTTGCCTAGCTGCCGATCTTGTATACACCTATGGTTTCAATGGCGTAGTCCTAATCAATTAACTTCTGTTTTTTCTTCCTGGAAACAGAATCCAGAGTTGTAGATTCATTGTCTGCTTTTCTCCTTAACTCGTTCAAGTCTTCCTCACTGACCAAGCCATTCAGCTTCTTGTTCAATGCATATGCTTCACCAAGTCTCATCTTACATTCTTTGCTTGCAGAATCATGGGAAACAACTGATACAAAGAAACACTGAATCAATATATGAACATTTACAGATGCTATCATTCGTTCATACAGAGAGGATAAAGCTAGAGATCCATCTATTAAGAAATGTAAATATAGCATATGAATATCACATGGCATGGCGGCAGGAACCAAAGATAAGTAACAGATTGAGCAAAATCTATCACACAAACATCTGGATTGAACTTCATCCAAGATCTCGACACCAATAGTTTCCAGCGTATCAACTAATAATGAATCAATTACTACACTATTCTTTTAGGCATTTCTGAATTCCCAAAATGAAAGAGATAAGGAGTCCAGTCTATGCTGAACTAAAATGCATGTTACTGAAGAATACAAAAACTGAGTACCATAAGAAAGAGCATATGCATGCAAATAATATGTAAATATATAAGGCATAGAACATAACAAGTGTGAGTGTTAAATAGAAAGCCTTACTGCAAGTAACAAAAACGACTGACCTGGTTTGGGATAATCTACGCCAATGATGCATTTTGCTTTACGTTGGACACTTATAGGAGCAGTCCAAGGTTCATATATATACTCCTTAGGCATATCTGTCATTGAATTTAGATTGAATAATAAAAGAGAATGCAGGAAAACCATTGCATCAATAAGAGAATTAGTTCATTAGCATACCTTTTAAAACAGGAAGAAAATGCCTGATATAGTTCCCGGCAGGATCATACTTTTTTCCAAATGAGATTGGTGAATAAATCCGATTATACTGTAAATGGAGAACACCAACAATCAGAATTTTGTAGGTGATCCAGGACAACTGATTGAGACATGGAAAAATGTAAACTAAGAGCACTTCTAGGGAGAAGTATTTAGTATCACCTAATTATTTTTGAAGTTTTATATCGGAGCAAATAAAAGACCAACGTTTCATTCAACAGCTTAATTTCCTACAATGTGATCTTTGGATAGAGCTCCCCATAAACAACATAATTATGATTAACATTTACCTGGTAGAAAAATGAAGAGCATGATAGCCACAACCAGTTTCCGTTGTTGATTGCCCAATCAGAGTCAATAAGCAGTCTTTCAAAAACATGACGTCCTCTCTCCCAATGCACAAACTATCCACACAACAATAACCATTAAAAAATGCGAAATTATTCAAAAATTAAAAAAAATTATCCAAGTCTTAAAGTGACTAACCAGATCCCCACGAGTTAGAAAGCATGCTACACTGTGTCGAGCAAGATGATGGATCCAACCCCACTTTCGAAGCTGAAACATTGAGAAAATAAATCAGATACCCTAACGAATCTCAAATCAAACAAAAGTACACCAATAAGTATCTCTCAAGTATACACAGTGATAGTAAGCTCCGGCAATTTAACCTGGACCATTATGGCATCAATCCAAGGAAACCCTGTCTTGGAATCTCTCCAAGCAGCTAGCAATTTATCATCATTCTTCCAAGGTATCTGTTGGAAGGTAGACAGATAATAATTGAACAAGGAAAAACTCAGGTCCGAATGAGATAAGTCATATATAGTAAAATGTCAATTGTTACAACATGAGAAGTTGTTTAATAAATATAGACAATAACTAAAAGATTAGGCGACCAGAAAATTATGTGGACTTATATAAAAGACAAATTATAAGGCTTTCATCGACAGAATCATCTAAGTTACACTTCGGTAAAAGATGTAACACATGTGCTATCGAGGACAATAAGTGCAGTCATCGAGTAGTTTCCATAGCACAATATGACATTATGTAAAATGATGACTTACTGATAGTATACTAAATAATTTTTTTGGTAAAGGAGGGTCAAGGACATCAAAGGAACCAAACTAAGAGCGGAAGGAAAAATTGGAGAAGGTAACATCCTACAGATAGTACTGGGAAGTTTAGATTGAGAAACAAGTGCTTGTGTGAGTGTCCTCAGTTCACTCATAATTTCCAGAACTAAATCATCAAATCAGATAAACAAGACGATAGAATTTCCTATCAAGTCCTCTGCATGATCTTGAGTTGTTGATACATCCAAAAGTTCTAGTCCACCGCCATTTGAACAAGTGTTATGACACTTCATACAAGAGATGATACCCAACAAGAACTCATAAAGACAATGATAAGAAGTAACCTAGCATCAAATAGAGGAAAAAGCAAAAGCACAAAGAAATGGAACTGAGGAACATGATCCAGATCAATGAAGAAGATTGCTCTCATCACCTGTTTGCATATTCTGTTACCCTTCATCTGATCAAAATTAGGAGTTCCAAAGGCAGCTGTGTAGAAAAAGTCGCGCCATAACAACTGCAGTAGTTGAAATTGCAAGTCACTTGGGTGCTGACTGTTGAGCTCTGAACATTAAACAACAAGTAAACTGACCTGTCCAAGAAGAGAAACAGGTGGAGAAGTATGCTTTTTAGAGCATTTCAGAATGTCCTGAATGCACTGGTAGAAGTACCTGGAAGAGAGACAACCAAACTTCCAAAAGAATTGGAGGGGCAAGAGATCAGAATATTTCAGAGCAATAACTACTAACTCATCCGTCCTATAAACCGCTCACCTTTAAGTAGGGTGATAAAACAGTTGTTGCTGGTTTTAGAAATGCAGATGGATTACCCTTGGGTTTCTCAAAATTTGCAACCCATTCCTGTACGAAAACGAGCAGTTCATTTTATTAGAGAATTGGTAAAAAAAGCCAAAGACAATGTACCAGAAAAAGAAAATATTAATGTTATTCTATAAGATGGGGCTAAAGCTTGTACAGCAAACATTAAAAGACACCTTGTTAGCAATTGATTCTCTCAACCTCTTCAGTGCTTCTGATTCTCCACCTTTAAAAGGAGTCTTTTCGTCCTGCATCCGAAATTTATGGTAAGACGTCACCTGAAGGACTTCATTGGAAATCTAGTAATATCATACCTCTGGTAAATCTTCATAACCAAGTTCTCTGACAGTTGGAACTTCTGAGACTGCAAAACTTCCAGTATTTCCAATACGAGGAAGTGAAGATATGGTTGTTGAAAGAGGGGTTGCTGCCCAAGATGGTTGCCCAGCCAGTTTGAGGAAAGACTGATAACTCAGAGGTGGGGATCCACCATTCTTTGCAGACATTCATAAACAAATTATTCAATATAGAATATTTCTTCAAATATAAAACAGAAGACTACCCTATTCTCCTTAAACATTTTTTTTCTCATTGGAGAAGAAACAAACTGATCCTCTGAGATTTTCGAACCTAGTTTTTAACTCACAGGTTAATGCACTTACCTTATGTATTATATCGGCAGGATTGTAGAGGGTATGGCTCACAGGAGAGAAAATCTCTACACCAGTTCCAGAAACATAGCCCTGTGGAGCAAATATAATTTTTCTTTAGACAAGCACCGAATCATTCGGAATGTGAAAAAAAAGACTTCTTAGTATAGAAATTATCTAATCAACCAAAAAACACCATACAGGATCTGCCTTAAGCTCCCATTAAGTACTCAAATCTTTTCCTCAGATGGAAATGAAATTTTACCTTAACTTTTTCATCTAAAGCTTGATAGTAGGGCTCTGTGTCGTACTCAAAGCAAAGTTTGCCTATGCTCCACTGAAAGTTATGTCAAGTTATGCAAATCAATGGCAAATAAATGAATTGGTTCTCAAAATAAAAGAACAATGTCAGTACAAAGTTACATTGGACAGACGCATGTTGAAACTTGAAAGAGGAAAAGAAAACCATAAAAGAAACGGTCGTCTTTCACAGCATATAGGCGGATCAATCAATAGCTTGACTCTAGTTTCTAAGTTTCATGATTTTCCAAGACTCAAAGCACAAGCATGACTGAACTTTCTTAAGTAATATTGATCAATTGATAACTAAATAACTGTGTATAAGTAGATCTATTAGCTCAGCCATAGCCAGATATGGACCAGAGAGCTTAAAAGGGCTAACTGCATCTCTAGAACACCAAAAACTTTACAAATTGTTACATGATCTAAACTGTCATACCCAACATAATATGTAAAATTCAATTGACAAACATATTCAAATTTGAACCTTAAACGATTGCTCCAACATTAGCAAACAGCATGGAAACCACATACAACATTTTCAGCAAGCAAAATCAATCATAAACCCTGAATCACATGGCAATAACACATTTTGATAGCTCATAAACTTAAGAAATCATTTTTCTTGTACGTAAGTTAATCAACTTATATTCCATTTGTTGATAACTAAATTGAACTGTAACTGTCACAGAGGTGCTTCATCTGCACAATCATGTCTATATGACCATATCCAACACCGACAACAACTTGCTGGAAACTAAGCTACACTAATTATTTCATGATAGGTTTCTTAATAAGTGTGGACGTTTGGCCATGTTTCATAGTGAAGTTTGAAGAAAAAAAAGTACTTTTTGTTTTCAAAGTGAAAAAATGTGATTTTGCAAATCCGGACTTTATGTGAGTAACTTGGAGTGAAAACACCTTTTTATTGTTTTTCAAATTCTGAAATTCAACTTCAAGTTGAATTCCAAAATTTTATGGCCAAACATGCTGGTCTCAACTACGGAAAAAAGTCAATCTTTTTGATGGCCAAAAACCTTTAATATCCAATACACGAGTTCATTTTTTTCATGGAGAAACCCGATACTCAACTATATACATTTATCTAAAACACAAAAGATAATACTACATGCATTCTAAATACTGAATCCAACTCTTCTTAGTTATTACTTGAATACTAAAATAGTTAAATACCCGTAGAATTTAAAGTAATAACAGTGATTACCTCCTTCAAGCAGCGAATCAAGAGCTCACCAGGGTCACCCTTGAGCACCAACAAACGTGAACCAACCTTCTTAAGACTCAAATCGAGATCAGCAAGGCTTTCAAGCAAAAACTGTATCCGGTTCAACCCGGCTTTAGATGAACCCAGAGAAAATGCAGTCGGATCAGGGTCCATATAGTGTGGATCAATCACGAAAACAGGGTACAAAAACTTCGATCCTTTAGCTGCATATTCCAAAGCTGGATTATCATGGAGTCTCAAACCCTTCCTGAACCACATCAAAGAGTTCGCTCCAGAAGCCATAGATGATTTTACAGAGAAATGAAGAAAAAGAGAATTTATTTAAACGGTTATGGGGTTTCCCGCCATAAATGGGCTCTAACTTCTGGTACTTTGTATAATGAGGGGCGTTCACTAACGTGAGCCGGGTGGTTAGAATTAGCGAAAGGGAGAACAGTTTGTTCATTTTTCATGAGGAAGTTAAGGGCAGAACGCAGCAAGCGTAAGTTAACGTAGAGCAGGAAAGGATTGGTTGTGAAGACACCACGTAGTTCTATGGGTAGTTCAAACATTTGAGCTTTTTGATGAGGTGGATTAATTTGGATCCACAATTATATTTTTTGTATGTATAAATATAATAAGAGTAATATTACTTATTAAAAATTATTTAAAGTTCTTTCAAACTCTTATACGAGTTTTATATGGGAAAATTGTATGTAATGACAAATTAAAAAATTAAATCAAATATTATAATTATATTTTGATTTAATTGTATTGTATAGAAAATTGTTTGTTAATCACATCTATCCCTCAAATTTTCGCTCGCCACTCTTCCTTTCTCGCTCTCTCACATTTATATAAACACAAATGTATAAAATGTGTTTTTATTTGTGTAAAGCGAGAAAAAAATTGTATATATACATATATTTTCATTCCTCTCTCGCAAATCTGGCTCGTCACCCTTGTCTCTATCGCTTATACAAACAGAAACGAAATATATAAATTGCATATACACATGTAAATATATATATATATTCGTCCTATACACTTATAATTATATAATATAAATATTCCTCTGCCCAATTTTCTTTTGTCTTTCTCTCTTTCCCGTTTTATATATACACAAATTATACAATTTATTTGTATACAACTGTTTTCTTTTGTATATGGATAGCGAATTAAACAATTGGTTTCTTTGTATCAGTATAGCAAATTAAAATATATTTATATTTGTTATGGAGCGCAATTATACAAATTTTTCTATAACATACAAATATGAATTTTGTATTTGTTATAAGTAAAAGTTGTTCTTTTTTTAATCAAATGAGTGAATATGATTCATAAAAAGAAACATTCAAATACTCTAAAGTTATCGCATTAATAAAATATTTTTTTTATGTTCTTTTTATACCTAAAAGTTTGTAATTTCGTATTATTACGAATACACATAATTTATAAAGATTCAATAGGCAAGTAATTAAATAGTCACTGACTAGTTATTTTTTAATATAATCCTTCAATATAATACAGGCGATCTCCTCATTCCACCATGAGTTTTTATTTTACAAAATATAAAATATGTCTGTTTATAAATAAAAGAAGATTGAAATCATGATATATTATTTTTTGGATAATTTATAATTTGAAATTAAGACTTTGTGCTGATTTCATATATAAACACTTAACTTTAAATTAATACTGGAAATTATATTAAATCATTGTTACAAGTTTGCGCTTGGTCCATTCTCTTTCATTTTCATGTGTGTATTCTTGAATTGAAATTCTATTTTTTTGGATAATTTATAATTTGAAATTAAGATTTTGTGCAGATTTCATATATAAATACTTAACTTTAAATTAATACTGGAAATTGTATTCAATCATTGTTACAAAGTTTACGCTTGGTCCATTCTCTTTCATTTTCATGTCTGTATCCTTGAATCTCATACTTGATTTCAATGCATATTCTTAGGCTTCTACTCGGACTTCAATGTCCAAATCACTAAGTTTTGCTCAAAACTCATTAAAATATTTGTATGAACACATCTTACAAAAAGAAACAGAGTCCGGAGCTTAAATGGCAAAAAAAAATATTGAAAAAAAATTCAAAAAATATATCAAAACAATTTCTAAACAAAATGATAAAATCGCTACTGACGTAGCGATTTATATTAACGAAAAAAAATCGCTGCTCTAGGAACAATATTGTACAATTTTTATTATTTTTTCTGGAATCGCTGCCTTGGCAGTGAGTTTTGTTATTGTTTTTTTTAAAACTTTTTTTTAATTGGAAAAGTTTTTTTTATAACAAACCACTGTCAAGGCAGCGATTTTGCTTAACGCCGTTAAAACAAATCGCTACATCGATTTTACCATTTTGGTTAGAATTTTTTTTGATATATCCTTTTGAAATTTTTATCAATTTTTTTGCCCTTTAGGCTCTAGACTCCAAAAAACATATATTATTGTGTGTAAATTCATAATTTTAGCTCACATTAAATTAAAAAAAAGTAAATAATATGTGAAGAATCACTAAAACTCGTCTTTATAGTTGATCATTAATGATAACCGAATCAAAGAATAAAGAATTACACGAATTATGCCGATACTAATCGTACAAAAGTAAGTACAAATATAGCCACAAAAGTCTATCCCACAAAAAACGAGAGAACGTTCAACTACCAACCAAATTAACCTTTTACCTTAATTCACGACCTCTAAACTCACATATCTAAGGTCATGTCGTAAGTTTAAGATGCTCCATGCCATGTATAATCAACACTCCCCAACCCCCTCTCCTAATACTTTTTGACATCCCTCTACCTCTCATAATGCTGTTATTGTCACCGCTCACACCTACTAACTAAGCATCTACACATTTTTCTTCATATGTTCAAACTATTTCAGTCTCACTTTTCTCATTTGTCCATTATAGAAGTCACTCCTATCTTGTTTTGATTATCATCATTCCTAATCTTATTGCTCATAGTATACACGCACATTTATTTCAACATACTCATAGCCACAATTTTCATATTTTAAAGACGAGAAATCTTGACCGATCAATGCTCTATCTTATACAACATAGTTAGTCTAGTCACCATCATATAAAACTTACCTTTTAACTTTTGATGGTACTTACTATCGCACAACAATCCAGAGCGGTGAAAACAGATAGGACACGAGTTGATTCTTGATGCAACCACCTTATGACTAGAAGTGTTGTGAGTATCTTTCCTCTGTCCCTATCCTAGTTTTGACTTCATCATGTATGTCATTAATTAAGTCGAATGTATACATCTAACTTCCTAGCGTCTCCATAAAATCTCCCTCAAAACTTTGTTGTAAACCTTTTCTAGATCAATAAACATCATATGCAAATTTCTCTCCATCTCCTTATATTGCTCCACTAGTCACCGCACAAAGTATATAGCTTTTGATGTGATAGATCGACCCCGACAAGAATTCAAAACGATTCCAAAAAATTAACACACCCATCCTTACACACACCTCCTCCACTCCCAACCCCACACTTTCATAATATAAATTAGCAATTTCCTATCCTTACAATTGTTTGCAATTTTGAATATCACAATTGTTCTTATACAACAAAATTATCATACTCTACCTTTACTCTTCACACATCTTCGTTATCTTAAAGATAGACATTATTATTATTATTCAAACAATCAACCAACCACTCCAAATTAAATCTGCCCTGCATATGTTTTTTGAAAACTCTACTGAGATCTCATCTAATATCGCACGAAAAAATTATCTTAGAGATAAAATATTAGTCTGTTGTCTTGCGTTATAATAACTTGGTTATAATTTAACATTTTTTAATAAGGTTATTTTTAGATTGTAAAAAGAATCTGTAATATATTTGAACTTTGACTGTAATAGTTTTAACAATATCGAACTTTGGAAAGAAGCTTTACTCTGTATTATTTAATAATGTCTTTTAAAGATATATATGTTTCCACGTGAATATCATAAATAATGAGTCATTATAAATAATAACATGTTCAGATTGACACATATATATCTTCAAAATATATTATTAAATAATATAATGATAAAAGATATTATATAAAATTTAGTGTGGTAACAATTATTTCAACTAAAGTTAACATGTTCTTGGTAGTATGTTTCCTTTTAAGATTATGATATAACACATAAATGGGTGCCAAAAAAAGTATATCCAACTAAAATAAACCCGAATTTGACTGGAGCTAGGCCGCCCAGGACGATGACTGGACAAATTCCTGATTTTTTTATTCTCAAGATGCTCTGAGCCACACGCGCTTCTCCCTCTCCCACCACAATTTCTTCTCCTAAAACACGCAGTGCAGCCATTGCAGCGCTACACCATTTTCCTCTGCATAGTGTCCTCTCTCACAGTCTCGTCAGATAATGAGTACGTCCTTTTTATCATATCTGGATTTCGATTTTATTCATAGAGATCTCAACTAGTTTGGGATTAAATTTTTGTTTGATTGATTTAGTAGAAAATTAGCTAATTCTTATGATTTTAATAAAACAGGTTTCGGAAAGAAGATCAGGATAGGGCTCGATGGTATAAACTCATCACCATTCATGGATTTCCTTACATTTTTATTAGTTTTATCAAATTTTGCTCATCATTTACACCTGAAACTGTAAAGTTTGTTGCTTTATTTGTTTATAAATTCAGGGTTTGGAAGAATTAATCGTTTCATCGCGAGAGCAGCTCACAGAGACGAAAACAAGCTTTCAAATGCAAGCACTGTGCTTAAGACTTCCACCTTTAAGGTATTTTTATATATGCCCCACAGTTAAATGCTACAACTTAGAGGAAACAAAGGATCATATAGGGGAATCAATTAGGTGGGATTACGATTTTGTTGTTGTCACACTTACATTAGAAATGCTTTATCCAAGCCGAGGGTTATCAAGGACAACCTCTCTATCCGTATGAAGTAGGCGTAAGGTCTCCGTATACTCTATCCTCCCCATTTACAAGCTTGTATACTAGTATAGGAATGTCAATTGTCAAGCTATTTGTCACTGTTGGGAATAGGGTGCAATGTATATAGAGGGTTCATATAGACAATTTAAGTAGTTTGTGGTTGAGATGTAGTTGATTGATGAGTCTAGAGCCTAAAGGGCAAACAAATTGTTAAAGAAACCAAAGGGGCAAAGGTGCAGCCCCCCGACCTTGGCTTCTGTCCCTTAACAGATGTGAAATAAACATCAAAAGGAAGGCACATGGCCCCACACGCCTTATAAGGCATTGAGGCCCTTGGGCTTTACACCTTATTGGTGGGCCCCTTTCCCTTCTTTACCTAAGGCTTCCTCTTTCCCAAACCCTCCTCCCACCCATAATTTGTTCCAATGTCTCCGTGTAGGGTAAGAACTATATCATGTTAATAGATTAACATAAACGCCATGTCAAGTCTTGTAGCATTAGCAAGAGACGTAAGTCCACCAATTGCACTAAGACG